TGAATCTGAACCACACGCGTTGCTAATTAGTGCAACTGAATGAATCTGAAACGCACGCGTTGCTGATTAGTGCAACTGAATGAATCTGAAATGCACGCGTTGCTGATTAGTGCAACTGAATGAATCTGAAATGCACGCGTTGCTAATTACTACAACTGAATGAATCTGAACGGCACGTGTTACTGATGTGGCTGGATGTGAATCTCGTGTTACTGACTGATGTAATAGAATGAACCTGAACCAGGTTTTACTCACAAGACGAAAACACAACTGGAGGTCTATTTATCTCTTTCAATAGAAAGTTAGGCAGGCCTCTACATTCATAACAATAACTCTATCACATCTGACATAAAGCGTTCCTGATATCCCTGTAGGTGTAAGGGATACTCACCACTAAGGACATTACCCGTGTAGTGTCTCATGATGTGATTGGAAGAAAATGGAAAATACTTTTCTTATTGTCTGGAAACAGTTAGCGCTTAACATGGCGGAAGTTATTCGCGTGACAGAAGAATGAGTCATTTTGAAGGATTGATACTATAAATCAAATGAGTAATTTTGAAGGATTGATAAATGTGAAGGTAGCAGGTAAGTTTTTGGTGTTCAGACTCGTGTAGTCGGAAGGGTGTTTATGAAATTTGTGAAAAGGGTTTGTGATGTAACCCAATAAACTTGTAACGTTTTTGTTCTTGACGCTTAACACGAATGTATGGCAAATTTTGTTAAAGTTAAACCCTAATTTCTACACAATTCATGAACTGTTGATAACGTTACACTTTTCTGAGTTTATGCACCAATTGCAATAAGTATGTAAGAGCCTGAGGGTTATGGAACAACAACAAAAATATGGGAATTTCGACTTTATGGAATATTACTAACATTAATATATACAAACATAGCCCATTTAAAAAAAAACAAAAAACTTATGGCTTTGGTGGGGCAGCTGCCTCTTTCAAAGTGGCGCCACTGGATGTCGCAGCTTTATCAATCCAAGTAACCACGAAAGTTTCAAACTCTGTCCCCGATGTGCCGATTTCTTCACTATTCCTCCCCAATTTTATGATCCATACTTGGTTGATGGATGTTTCTGAAGAAGGTCCTTCGTCTTAGTGTCCACGTGTTCTGAAGCACCTGGTGGTTTCCACCAGGTAAGAGACAGGGTTTCTTCTCCATAACCAACTATGTTTGTGTGCGTGTGTGCACGAAGAGGAAACGTCTATTGACCAGTGTTTCGTTGAATTATCAATAGAGTAATACATGCTAGCTGACGTACCGGTTCAACGCAAGGGGAGGACATGGGGGAGTTCAGATCCGAATACTAATCTCCTTTATCACTCCCTTCGAGGCTTTAAGGGTAAATATAAAGTTTAGTAACAATCAGTCCGGCGGTTCGCCATTTATAAGCGGACAAACACACACTTTTTTAAGCATTTATTATTATTAAGTATATCCTCCGAAGCGTCTCAGCATGACATATTTAAAACTCACACACACACTTCAGGTTTGGTTTACTAAAGCAAAACGTAACAAAAAAGACGTTATAAACTCGGGTTCTGAAGAACAATAAAACTTTCCATGTATATATGTATGTATGTGTCTATTTAAACCAAGTGCAATTCTTGTCATTATATCCTCCTACTTAGGTCACTGATATGGAGACAGACTCGTACATATATATTAAGAGTAAAAAACACAAAACTGACGTTTGTTTGGCACAATGAAAGGTAAAATATTTATTACTTACAGCCGACTAGTTTCGCTAACACAAGGGTAATATCTTCAGTGTTAGCTTAGAATATATTCAGCATAAAACCGTTAATGAATGGGCTCATCTTCAAAAACAAAGGATGGAAAGTGAATCGTAAATGAGGGAATACTTAAGATATATAAGTATTCTAATGAGACATGTTGATTGGTCCATCGTCTCTATTTATGCACACACACATACACACACATCTATTTTTAATTATACAAATACTATATTTTAAGTTCCTTTCTATGTTTGTTTGTGAATTTCTTAAAATCTTTAGGTTTTTCCAGTCAAAATTACCATCATAGTTCCAGAAACGTTCAGCTACTGTAGAGGACATAGTGTTGTCATGTTTTATGTTATACTGGTGTTCTTTCAATATCGTTTCTAATTTCTTTTCTGTTTGTTTGTCTTATGTACGTTTTACAGCAACTGCAAATGATTTGGTAAATTCCATCTTTATCTTTTTTGGATCTTTGAGTGTTTGTAAATTGTTGATTTTTTTTTTTCGTGGGATGAACGTTACTTTGTAACCTTTTAATCGGACACCTTTAGCAATTGTTTTCTGAAATCACAGGAAACAATGCTATACTAAGGAACTTGTTTTGAGATGCTTTAATGGAGCTAATTTAGAATATTTCCTTTGTAGAAAGTTCTGTCGACAGTTATAGGGTCATAACCTCTATCTACTGCTACTGCTTTTAAATACATTTTTTCGTTGGCTATTTCTGTACTATTAGAACATATATATTAATAGTACACCAATCATATCTGTAAAAAGTGCTTAGTTTCTGACTTAAATGGTTAGAGTTATATATTTGTGCTGGGGGGGGGGGGGCTCGGCATGGCCAGATGGTGGTTAGTTATATATTTGTCTTAAGGGACTCACTAGTGATTTTGTGTTTTTCAGGTTGAGCAATGGCTATCATACAAAATAACACAGGCCTGCGAACTTAAACTTCATAAAAGTTCTTTTGGTTTTAATAACAGATTTTCCATAATTCAGCCACGCAGATTTCGAAAATAATATTCATTTTTTTCTATCACATAAGGATTTTTTACAAATCGAGAAGAGAAAACAAACTCTTACTTGGATCAAATTATTATTTCGTTTACCACAATGAACATTTTTTATTATCATGTGTGTTTCTCATGGGTTCTAGAAAGATCGATAAGATCCTCACGTCGCGATTGGTCTAGAGAAATCTATAGCCAATGGTTGTCAACATTTTAAGCATAACAAAATGTGATTTGATTTCAATGGAAATGATTCCCTTATGTAAAGTACATGTGACGTTTTGTGAAAAATCTGTACGTGATTGAGAAAAATGGATATCTTTTTCGGAT